CGTCTGAAAACCCTCCGCATCCACATTATCGTTTTCAGTCGTTTTCACAGAGTTGTGCGTCCACATTGACTCAGCTGAAAACGCTAACGTTCCAGTACTGCGCATGCGTGAAACGCAAGATGATTCGACCTGCCTCATTTCTGTCTGCCGCTTATTTACTTTCCGGCTCTTTGAAACATCGCAGCAAAATGTCGAGGAAAAGCACCGAGTTTTTTAAATGGACCAAGAAGGAGGTGGAGTTGTTGCTGTGAGTAAGAATTAAAGGATTGGGAAAAAAAGCTATCTGAACCATCTACAAACTGATATTAATCTTTAATAAGGCTGTCAAAATTGAGAGCAAACAAAACAACTGCTGTATAATGCCCTACGCTATCTTAGTTTAATTGGTCACTTGACTGCATCACATGACTAACATGTGTCATCGTTTTCAAAAAGTTTCCATTTTTGCTGTCCACACTGCGACGCGAAAGCACCGTCTTCAAATGTATGCATTTTCAAAACGTTGCTTTTTTCCTTCACTGTTGACGGGAGGCCAAAACGGAGAGAAAAAGATGTGCTTTCAAATGAAAACGTATTAGTGTGGACTTACCCTAAGACTGCCTTCACAAAGGACCCATCCCAACATGTAGCTATTAGAGTTGGATGACCGGTCTCGAGACTCCACTTTTACATGGTCGTGGTCTCGATGGACTTTGGTCTTGTTTTGGTCTCACTGTCTCGGTCTTGCTGGTGGTCAGGAGATTTGGAGTCAACAGTATCCATGACACACAACGTAACGTACAATAATGTGTCATGCATAAAAGCATCAGCTCTAAGAGCCGTGCTTAGAGAGTGCTTTGTAGTGAATCAGAGTCGACTCCCATTGAGCGAGAGCCGGCTCCTCACTTAATTTCCTTTCGCTGCTCAGCTCTCACACAGGGGTTCAGCTATGCTCCAATCCCTCCATATTGTGGCCAATCACATACGAGGATATAGGATAATATCAGTATGTGAAAAACAGAGAGGGTGACGCGACAGTCAAGTAGAGCATGGGTCTGTCCTCTTCTGAGTGAGACAGTAGACAGCAGTGAGGAGGGCTGTGCGAGTGCATCGCAAAAACACATAAATATGCCTGACACCCGTAAACGAAGCAGCATCTGGCTGCGGTTTAAAGACTTTTTTGTATTGGTCTTGACTCGACTTTGTCTTGGTCTTGACTCGGTCTGTGACCCTCTGGTCTTGGTATTGTCTTGGTCTTGGTTTAGGCAGTCTTGACTAGAGAGCGAGAGCGAGAAGAGGTTTGGCCCAGCCTTGAGGCCCTGCTGCAGGAACAGTGTAAAGATGCCACCACAAGGGAGCCAACAAAGACAAAGAGCCTCATCCTCTGTCTTCAGACTCTGATTCAGATGAGGAAGCCCAGTGTAAAAGGGCCCCGAGTTTGTACAGAGCAGAAACCGCCATCAGCGAGACAGACTGCAGTGGTGGGCCAGTTGAGCAGGGACCCACCCAGAGCTTTCTGTCCTGGAAACGCTCTCAAAAACACATACATTTCAAAACAGAGCTGCCCCGTCGCAGTGTGGACACTCGAAAACGCAGACTTTCTAAATCGATGACGCATTTTAGTCATGTGATGCAGTCATGTGACCAATTAAACAAAGATAGCGGAGTGCTTTATACAGCAGTTGTTTTGATTGCTTTCAATTTTGACAGCGCTATTAAAGATTAATATCAGTTTATACATGCTCCAGATAGCTTTTCTTCAAATTCTTTAATCCCCAGGACTGGAACCTAAGCGTTTTCGTCCGTTTCAATGTGGATGCAAAACTCTGTGAAAACAACTGAAAATGCTAGTGTGGACGCGGAGCGTTTTCAGATGACAACGCTGTTTGCTGATCATCTGATGCATTCTCTCACTAAGCTTGGTTTAGCTTGTCTGCAGGCTTTATTAAATGGAAAACTTCCACAACACTGCCTTATTTTTTTAAGAAGAAAAACTGCATTTATGTTGAAATTTTTAGTGTTATTATTTAAAGACAATGTACTTAAAGTACTTAAAATAGCACTTTATTTTTAAGTCTGCCCAATTTTGGCCAGGGATATTATTTTTGTTTCTCTGTTTTGAATTGAAATGCAGTTTCAATGCTTTTTTTTCAATAAGTTAAACGAGCTTTAGTTTACAATATTCATGTCCATGTCTATTATTTGATTCTGTTGCCCACTAAAACCCTTTTTGAATAAAAAAACATTTGCATTTTGTGTATATTGAATGAACCACTGATATAGTGAACGAGTAGTGAAGTCTAAACATAAGATACAATAATTTTTTTAAATGAAGAGCCTCGGCACCATCTTGTGTTTTGATGTGTAATTGTAGAACAAGTCAGCAGGAAAGCAGAATTCCTAAGTAATGAAGACATAATTGATTGGGAAATTCTTGTACTGTATAAACCAACACTAATAACAGGGTTCTGTTATATTACAGATGATGAAATGTAGCTAGTTATATCATAGAAGACCAAATTCAAGACTGAACCTTTAGCTGACCATAGCACTAAAGGGGGAATATGGAATTAAATTAGAATTTTCTTTCCTTTTTCTAAACTTAACAATGTAGTTTTGAATGAATCACTAAGTGAAGTTCAAAATTTAAGGTCCAAATGGGATTCTGAAACAATTTATTGCAGTTTCAGGTCTAGCTGTACATAGAAGAACTATGTACAGCTCGACTCTCCCTGGCCTGCTCAACAGTCAGGTCAGGCCATGTCCATATATTCAGACGATCATTATGAAGGCATCTGCAAGTGAGAATGATAGATGTGCAGTGACATTTAAAGTACGTGGACTGAAGGCTCATTCGTCTTAGGAAGGGTGGCAGAAAGATGATTGACTAGACCAGTGATGTCATAATCAGCTTGACAATGTGGGAAAGTGTGATTATAGAGCTTACTTATTGAATTTACACAAAACCTTTATTTCATTTTTATCTCAACTGAAAAAGCTGAGCTTTACTAATGTAAGTTATTGCATTACACTAATGCATGGTGATACAAATCTTTCCATTCAGGTGAAATTGTGCTTTGGTCACAAATTCAGCCACAGGAAGTGAATAAGCTAAAACAAATAGAAATGGAGTCCTCAAACAAAAATGAAGTCCTGCCCCCTCTCTCTGTTTGTCTCTGTTTCTTGACGTAGTTGCTGCATTATAGCAGAACGAGTGTTTTTTGTTTTTGTTTTTTTTAAATAAACCACACAGTGAGCCTCATCCAAAGGGGGAAATATTTCAGAAATCTAACTTAAACTGATGTTAAAATGGCACAGTCTTCAAACACTGTATGAATATTGTAAGCACATTTGTGTTTCTTGTTAGGTTTCCTGATGCACATATTTTTTATAGATGTTAAACTGCAGCCTAACAAAGCAAAAGAGATGTAAATGACTACACTTGATAGCTTGTTCTCATATTGGTGTTTAAGACATTTTATTATTAAAGTTTCCTGATTTTCCTTATTTTATTATACACTTTGCAGGGATAAGAAGAAGAAGATATACGAGAAAAGGTAGAAATACGATGAAGAAGTCTGCTTTGCCGTTTGGTCCCAGTAAAGTGATCCTTTACATTACTGCCATCTTGTGTCCCGCAGTTGGTTACTGTCACTGAAACCTCCACTTCTTTTCATGCTCATAGGAAAGCTCTCTCTCTCTCTAATGGGCGTGCCCCTCTCACACACTGTTTAAGCTTTTTGATTCATATTTTTTAAAATCAAATATTTAAAAAAAATAATGATGAAAGAAATAGAATATGAAGTATTTAAAATGAGCTCAAATGTAAATATATGAAGCAGTAATGTTGATGTGTGTGTAGTGAAAGTATTCCTTCTGTGAAAGGACCGCTGCTATCAACCCAAACAAATGTGACTGGAGTTTGTTTTAGAACTTAGATTTTATGCTATTTATGCCTTATTTGCTGCTCTTTTTAAACTGTATTGTGTTACGGGTTCAAATATTGAGGGTGAGCACAAAAAACAACAATTGGTCCAGGAGAGTCGGTCAAACAATGATTTTAATGAACACACGCATGGGGAGATGAACACTGCACACAGACAGCATCGATCTCTGCCCAATAATACACAAGCAGTTGTTTTTATAACATCAGGGTATCATTTATGACATCCCCTCATGCGTCAAAGCAGATACAATACATGCATAAGTTTCAAAACCACGAATGTTCTGTTGACGACTTTTGACACATTTAAAAGGACATCTTCTCCGTCTCGAGGCCAGGTGCTTCCTATTAATCTTCTAACTCTCGCTTATCTCCTGGAACAAACTGTCCCTTAGGCAGACACAATTTTGCAGTCACAAGCTTTTGCAAACTATTATTTGAACTCTTACCTAAACATGAGTCTAACTACTGTTTGTGTGTGTATGTCTCGACCTCAAAATGCACTCAGCCTCACCCCGCCCGTTGACACGTCTGACCTTTTACCAGACAGAAGCTCTCTGTGATAGGTGTAATAATCTTAACTAAGAACATGTGTAATCTATTGAATAAATGCTTTGATGAAATGATAATTAATGTAATGGTAATGATGGTTATGAATAGTAGCAGTAAAATATTTCCCTGATCTCCACAATTGCTTATTGCACTGTAGAGGCTGGTGAGAAACAGTATTTCGTTTCAGGCTGGGTAACACCATACGAAATGACAGTAAACTTCTTGAGTCTTGAGTCTGGTGGGATATTTTCATAGTATTTGAGTACTTCTTTTCCTGAAGGAATGGTTTAAAAAATTCCTCCAGCACTTGCTATTAACAGCTAATCATAAATTATGTGATAATGGTAGCTAATTTACTGATAATTCTTATGAATTGTTATCAATCAGAAAGGTGAAGATGTCCATGTAGAGTGAACCCAGACAGAAAATATGTGTTTAATCTGGTCAAATTGATCTTGAAAATGACTGAACATCCAGCCTGTAGAGCTGTCCACACAACAGCTCAGGATCATGCTGCTCTCTGGACCTACATCACATGGGTCACCCGGTTTCCTAAAGAGCAAAGCACAAATAAATTAAAGATAAATTTACAATTTCAAATATCTTCAGCTTAAATGAG